ATTGCGGGGAGATATTATTTAGCAAGCAAGCTGTCTATGCTGGGCACCAACAGAAAATATATAGAAAGGGTAATTTTTGGCTTTATCGTTTAGTACAATCACTCTCAGATAACAATTTCAGGCACATATGTATAATAGCAGGACTCAAGAAGAAGATACAAGGCTGGAAACACAGGGGTTGATTTGCTAAAAGTGAAGGGAAGTTTTACATTGCAAGGGTATTTTCCCAAGAGTGAATCGGGTAAACCTCTGCTGACTTCCATGATTGAATCATTTTTTTAAATTTTCCATGCACATGATTGGGTATTGTTTATTAAGTACAATTTTACCACATTAACTAAACTCTGCGGAAAATTCCTGTGCATAGTGCAACTTCCATTGCAAAGTGACCTGCTTATTTATGGTTAGTAAACCAGTCCCACAATGTCAGTGTAATATAAGCTGAAATAAATACACTCAATTTCTGTTGAAAAATGTGTTTAATAAATAGGTGAAAAGTATGCTCTGTATAGAATTATTGTTGCTGAATGTAGTTCTTTGTTAGTAGACCACTATTATCTTTAATATGTTAAGAAACTGCTATACTATATATGAACTTACAGACATTTTATCTTTAATATGTTAAGAAACTGCTATACTATATGAACTTACAGACATTTCAGACTTGTTTACACCATAGTGCAGTGCACTGCAGCACATGCATTTTTGTGCATTGAGGTATGTTGTATTAGGCAGCCCTATGGTTTTGAATGGGCAGACCTCTACGCACAAAAAAAATCTGTTGCTGAATTAAATTTGCCAGCACAACAAAAAAGAGTGAAGGCTAATTGGTGTTGTAAATATCCCGAGTCACAAAGACCCAGAAAAATGACTAGTCATTAGAAAGCAAGCAGGAGCCTTGTTACTACAGTGAGTGAGTTACTGGCTGGGGAAAAATAATCAAAGCTACTTTTATTGTCATTGATATAAAGTCTTGAGCTCTACAATATATCCTGTGTTAAAACAGAGACAGATGTGTGTTTTGAGGGTTGAGAGAATTGTATTGGAGACAGGGGCTTATTTACTAAAGATGGAGAGTGCAAAATCAGGCTCACTTCTGCATAGAAAGCAATCACCTTTTAACCTCAGCTTGTTCAGTTAAAGTGTTACTAAACCCAGGACCCTGCATTCACTATATCTGATCTCCCACAGTACACACAACATTTTAGTAAATATAAACTGCTAAATACCTTTTCTCATCAGCTGTAGAATCAGTTGTGTGACTTCTATCAGTGTTCAGCAGAGCACTGGTTAAAGCGTGTAGGAGTATTATTTCTGCTCTAGGAAGATGCAGAACCCCTGACCTCCATCTGAACAGTGCTCATTGGCCCTCTGCTGGTCACATGCTCTCTTCCAAGAAAAAAAAAAAACCCTCTCTGGCAACACAGACCAAACTGAGCATGTGCAACTTGCCCTTAGACACTGTTTTATCAGGATATATTTGAGAGACACTGGAAGAAGGGGAGATTCAGAGAAAAGAGGATAAACATCCTTTTTAAACAACGTGGAGGATTAACCCCTTAGGTTCCACAGTGAGCATAACAAGCATGCTTTACTGCATATACAGACTGATTTTACTGTTGTGGGTTTAGTAACACTTTAAGATTTGGCAATTAAACCTGGAAACTGATTGGTTTCTATGCAGAAGTGAGCCTGATTTTGCACTCTCCGGCTTTAGTAACTAAACCCCACTGTATACTATCAAGTGCTCACACAAACTAGGATATCAGAAACTTTTCTGTCTTAAACTTAAGGAAATTAAGTTAAGAAATTAAAATCCCCAAACAATTTTAATTTCCATTCAGGAGACCTATAGGCTATGAAGGAGTATAATCTCTGTGCAAAAAGACCTTTGTTTGCTTACATAAATGAACAAATACATGGCAAAAAGTCTTTAAAAAGTCTCAAAATTTTCTTTTATATTTAATCACACTGGGGTTTATTTACTAAAGCTGGAGAGTGCCAAATCAGGCTCACTTCTGCATAAAAAGCAGCCTGATTTTGCACTCTCCAGCTTTAGTAAATAAACCCCACTGTGTGGAGGACTGGAGAAATGCTCACAGGGTGAATGTGGTGCATAGCTTGACCCAAAGGCAAGACAATATCGGCTACAGTTGAGATAGAGTCTGAAATACACAAACCTTATTTAACCTGAGAACAGAAAGAAGCTATGTTCCCCACTTCAACAAGAATTCAGTTTATGTACACTCAACCTCCCTGGCAGTATTCCCGAGTGTAGCTCGGGGGGTAAAGTTTCAACACCACAAGCGGTAACCCCGAGCTACACTCGGGAATACCCTGCAGCGTTGCTCCGGGATCTGTTCTTCACTTACCTTGTCCTGCTCTCCCGCGATGTCCCTCCTGCAGTGTCCCCGGCAATGTCCTCCGGCCGATGCCGGCATCTGTCTACTGGGTTCTGTTCCCTGCGACGTCAGGACGTACGGGGACGCAACGGCGGGAAATTTAAAAATGTGAAAGAGTGACATTCACTAAATGCACTAAAATCACATAGTAAAACATTACTGTATCAAACCATTTCACATACATTTTGTCCCTACTGCTTTGTCCTGTACCCTGCCTGCATTTTTACTGTTCTTTCTGCCTGGAAACTGAGAAACATCCATGGCGTCCAAAAAGCGTCCCTTTAGGTCAAAAGCGGTTTTAGACCAGCTAGAGAACAGTGATAGTAAATTAGAACCACTTGCAGAATTGAGTGATAATGATTTGTGGGGAAATTTGTCATCAGACACTAAAAACAATTTTGCGACTTTGCTCAGTGATGTCCAAACTTGGCGCTATATTTCAAATTTCAGTGTTTTTGGTTTGAATATATTATTGAATTAAATGTATTATTATTATATTATTATTTTTTTATGATTATTTATTAAATTATAATTTATGATTTCGTGTTTCAAATTTTAACATACCCGGGATGTTTACTAGACTCTTGTTCAGACAGATTTCAGTGAGTTATTCCTATAAATTACAGGCCTACAATAAAAATACTACACATTTCCATCCAAAAAAATGTACCGCTTTGAGCACAGAAATACTGACATAATCAGACCGCTAGGGAGGTTAAAGGATAGGTTCACCTTTAGGAACATGTTTTTAGGGTGGAACATGTAACATGTTACTGATCCTGCAGTCGCTGTCTGATCCCCCCTCTCTGTGACAGCAGTACGGGGAGAAGTTCCCCATACTAGCTGTCTTTTTTTAAAAACAGCGTGGCTGTGCGGGGGTCCTCCCATACACCTACATCATTTATTCACAGTGTTCTGTGAATGAATGGACTACAAGTTCCAACATTCTTAGCGGCTGTCGACTTATCTCTGGAGCAGTGCTTTAAAGGCATCTGCAATCAAATATAATAAATGCACTTTTTTTTTACCTGCAAAAAAATGTGCATTTATTATTCTTTGTAGAATGGTGAACTTATCCTTTAAAGTAGTATTAAATCCAAAAACAAAAATGTAATATATTAGAGCTTACCAATTCTCAGATGTTCTTGCTGCATTTGTTTTCTTTTTCTTAGGCTTTTGTTCCCTTTATTTTCTGCTGTTGATCCGGCCAGTATGTCTGTTATCTTTCAACTTCCTTTAACAGACCAATGTGTCAAAATAAAAACTATTTCCTGCTAATAGTAGGAGTTTGGTTCCCAAGAATGACAATGTGTGTGCCCAAAGGTGTCTTGTTGCTCCTCCATCCAGAGTAGAAACACCCTATGCAGGTTGCGTTTGCGGCATTTCTGCACTGCATTTTACGTTGCGTTTTGCATTTTTTCACTTGTATTTTTTCTGTGGTTTTGCCACAGTTTTGATGAGTGTTGCTGTTTTTTTCTTTTTTTAACTTTTCTTGTTGCTAGGCAGATTTAAAACACGAAACCCAAAAATGCATAAAAACTGCAGCAAAAATGCAATACATGCTTTTCTGCAGCATTTCCATTGAAGTCTATAGAACCAAAAATGCAACTTTTTGCGTTCAAAAAAGTCCCTGACCCTTTCCAAAAACACACTGGGTGAAAACGCGGAGACTTGAACCTGTCCCAGAGGAAATCATGTTGATTGGACTGTAGTGCATTTCTGCAAAAGGCAAAATGATGCAGAAAGTGCTAGGTGTGAACCTAGGGTAATACAGCAAGTGTGTAACTGGCCAGATCACCGGGGTGAAAACAAAGAAAACTAACTGTTAAGCTACAGTATATTACATTTTTGTTTTTCCTGGGTTTAACCTCCCTGGCGGTATGATTATTTCAGATTTTTGGTGCTGAAAGCGGTACCATTTTTTTGCATGGAAATATGTATTTTTTTTATTGTAGGCTGTAATTTTTAGGAAAAACTCACTGAAATCTGTCCGAACAAGAGTCTAGTAAACATCCCGGGTATGATAAAATTTGAAACACAAAATCATAAATTATAATTTAATAAATAATCATAAAAATAATATAAAAATAATAAAAAATTTAATTCAATAATATAATCAAACCAAAAACACTGAAATGTGAAATAGAGCGACAAGTTCGCACATTGCTGAGCTCAGTCGCAAAATCGTTTTCAGTGTCTGATGACGAATTTCCCCCACGAATCATTATCACTCAATTCTGTAAGTGGTTCTGATTTACTATCGCTGTTCTCTAGCTGATCTAAACCGCTTTTGACCTAAAGGGACACTTTTTGGACGCCATGGACATTTCTCAGTTTCCAGGCAGAAAGAACAGACAAAATGCAGGGCGCAGGACAAAGCACTAGGGACAATATGTATGTGAAATAGGTTGAAACAGCAATGTTTTACTGTGTAAAATGAAAAAAAAAAAAATGACATTTTTTCAAATTTTTAAATTTCCTGCTGCGCCCGTACGTCCCGACGTCACAGGGACAGGACACAGAAGCCGGATGCCGGCATCGGCCGGAGGAGATGGCCGGGGACGCTGCAGGGGACACATCGTGGGAGCGCAGGGTAAGGTAAGTGAAGAACACATGCCGGAGCAGCGCCGCATGGTATTCCCGAGTGTAGCTCGGGGTTACCGCTCTTGGTACTGAAATGTTACCCCGAGCTACACTCGGGAATACCGCCAGGGAGGTTAATATCACTTTATTGCTGCTTGTTTTGTTTTTACTTTGTTTAGTGATTTAACAAGAATTTTGCATATATGGTGGAGATTTGAGCATCTGTAAACACTTATCTAAACCCTAACCTAAGGCTGGCCATACACTATACAATTTTCTTTAGAAAATTGGTTTAGATTTACCAAGAACCATATAATATGAGGTCAAACCTAAACAACACTTTCAATTGTATCCAATTAGGCGGGCCTATCCACTACACAGTTGAAGGTAAATCTAAAGAAAATTGAGCAGAAATTGGACAGAAAATTGTATGATGTATGGCCAGCCTAGCCCATGAAAATTGATTAGATACAATTTACTGTAATCAGTTTGGGAAAGGGGTGAAATCAGACTGGTTGTTATGTATTTAGGCACTTTGAAAACATTCACTACATCAGGATCAGGGTAACAGGCCATAGATTATGCAATTTCCTTTACTGCCACCTTGGGTCAGTGTTGATGGGGGGATCCCTCCAGCAGCACTACTGTGTTTTGCCAGCGGTAGATCAGCTGTGTAGAACACGGATTGAAATTCAACCAGTCCCTGCTGAAACGGCCACATTTTGATCCATGCGTGGCTGGCTTAAGACTGGTAAAGTTTGCACCACCTTAACAGAGCTTATTCTTTTTTAACCACTTGCCTACCAGGAACTTCTACCCCCCTTCTTGCCCAGGCCAATTTTTAGCTTTCAGCACTGTTGCACTTTGAATGACAATTGCGCGGTCATGCAACATGTACCCATATGAAATTTTTATCATTTTTTTCCACAGAAATAGAGCTCTCTTTCGGTGATATTTACTTACCACTGGATGGTTTTTTTGCTATAAACAAAAAAATAGAAAAACATTTGAAAAAAAAAAAGTTTTTCTTTGTTTCTATTATAAAATTTAGCAAACAGGTAATCTTTCTCCTTCACTGATGTGTGTTGATGAGGCTGCAATGATAAGCAGCACTGATGGGCACTGATGAGGTGGCACGGATAGGCAACACTGATGGACACTGATAGGGAGCACTGATAGGTGGCATTGATAGGCGGCACTGATGAGCTGGCACTGATGATGCTGCACTGATAGGCGACACTGCTGGGCACTGATGGGCGGCACTGCTCGGCAGCACTGATTGGCGGCACTGCTGGGCAGCACTGATGGGTGGCACTGCTGGGCACAGGTGGGTGCCCTGATGATCAGTGCCGATCCCATCGCTGACAATTGTGCTCCTCATGCTGTGACGGTGTGAAGAAAGTGCAGCCAATAATTGTCAATTGTAAATGCAGGCCATAGATGGGGAGAAAACTGGCCAATTTTTCTTTAAAAAAAGGAAAAATTGGTCGTTCAAGCAGCCGACGTTACCAGGAACGGTAAAAAAAATCGGCCGATTTTCATCCCGTCTACAGCCAGCAAAAAGTGTCCCTGCAGAGAGCTCCGCTATTTCTTTGACAGTTCTTTGACATTTATAGCGTCTGCAACAATGTATCTATCTGTATTCGGATACAGATGTTTTTATTCAGAAACAAATAGATACATTGTTGTAACCGCTATAAATGTCAAAGAAATAGCGGAGCTTTCTGCAGGGGACACTTTTTGCTGGACTGGAATTCTTCTTCATCTTCTTCTTCCTCATCTTCTTCTTCCTCTTCTTCATCCTCTTCTTCATCTTCTTCATCCTCTTCTTCTTCTTCTTCCTCTTCTTCATCCTCTTCTTCATCTTCTTCATCCTTCTTCTTCTTCTTCCTCTTCTTCTTCCTCTTCTTCTTTCATCCTCTTCTTCTTCTGCCTCTTCCTCTTCTTCTTCATCTTCTTCTTCATCCTCTTCTTCTTCTGCCTCCTCTTCTTCTTCATCCTCTTCTTCTTCCTCTTCTTCTTCTTCCTTCTTCTTCATCCTCTTCTTCTTCATCCTCCTCTTCTTCATCCTCTTCTTCATCCTCTTCTTCATCTTCTTCTTCTCTTCTTCTTCATCCTCTTCTTCATCTTCATTCCCTTCTTCATCCTCTTCTTCTTCTTCTTCCTCCTCTTCATCCTCTTCTTCTTCTTCCTCTTCTTCATCCTCTTCTTCATCTTCTTCATTCTCTTCTTCATCCTCTTCTTCTTCTTCCTCTTCTTCTTTCTCTTCATCTTCATCTTCTTCCTCTTCTTCATCCTTTTCTTCCTCTGCTTCTTCTTCTTCTTCATCCTCTTCTTCTTCCTCTTCCTCTTTTCTTCTTCTTTTTCTACTGCTTTTTGTCTTCCTCTTGCAGGTCATTGCTCATGCGCAGATTTTGTATCGGTAAAAAGGTCGGCCGATTTGCCCATAATTGCCGCGAAAATCGGCCGATCAGCAAAATCGGCCGATCTTTTTCCAACTTTACCGATAGAAAAAATCAGCCAAAATACCGAAAAACGGCCAAACAATTAGCACACTAACAATCCGAAAATCGGCCTATTTTATTTTCGGCCGAAAAATCGGACGATTTTCGACCCATTTATGGCCTGCATAAGTAGGTGACTACAAATATGTTATCCAATTGTTACCCAAATCCTGCAAGGCTGACAATGCTTATGGAAAAATGACTGAGGAGGGATGCACATAGGCATAATCTGTTAGCCCTGTGTAGAGATGTGCTGGTTGCTTTAAATCTTAAACAGCAGTTGCAAAGCATTTTTTTTTCTTTTCCTCTTTGTGAGTGACAGACAGGAAAAGCAGGATTGTGCTCTGATTGGCTGTTGCTACAGCTGAGAAGGATCCACCCATAGCAGCACTGTTGCAGCTGAACTTATGATTGGCTGTGGAGGAAAGGAGAGAGGAAAAAGGAAGAAGAAGCACATGTGGGGAAGGAAACATTTTAGGGGACTGCATGGAGCAAGGGCTCTTGGTGTAGAGTCACAGAGTCTCACTCTCTGTGCTGCTAGAGCCTATGGGCTGGACTGGGAGTGTGTAGCAGAGGAATTGTTGCAGGAGGACAGTGTGCAAATCAAGGATTGTCCTGCCTGACACTCAGGATTACAGCCACTCAAGTGCATGTGTCTCTCAAAGTCTGGAGCTGCTGAAAAAGAGAAGATTTCTACTACTGTCTAATGCTATCTAGAGGAGAATCCAGAAACAGTGAGTACTCTGTGATGAAAGGGGATTTTGATCTTGCTGCATTTGCTGTTCATCTCTGGAGAATGGTAATGAGAAAGCATGCTCTCTGATTCTCAGAGTGACACAGATCTTGGAAAGTCCAAGCTGCTCAGAATTAGCTATTCCTGCTGCTGATTGATGAGAGAACTCTGTCTCTGTCTATTACTGGTGATTGTCTCCTCAAAACTTGTGCTGCAGCTGAAGAATGTGTTTTAGCTCCAAATCCCCACAGAAGCTTGCTGCTTTAAATATACTGAGCAAGTGTCAGTACATCAGGATTTCACCTGTATGGTAAAGATTTGTTGAAGTGTTGTTTTCTTCTATTGCAATGTTCACAGGAAGATTCTGCTTAAAGGAGACTGTGCTATCCTGCTACCTCTGGATTACAAATACTCTCTCATTCAGAGAGTGAGCGCTCTTCCATTGATTAAAGGGCCCCAATGTTGAAAGACTTTAAGTTTCATTCCACTGGCCAGTGGTTAGGTAGGATATTTCTGCTCTAGATAGTACTGTTATAGCAAATGTCAATAAGCTGCTTAACCTCATTAACAGTTATTGTTTCATGTGTCAATGTCAATCTCATGTGCCACCCTAGTCAGTGTGATACTAGTCAGTTTTTGGAGAATTTGGTGAGTGAATTGTGATTTATTACTAACTGTGTTATGTAAAGTGGTATCTGTGTTTTATGTACATTACCTGTGTTAAATCAGCTAGTTCTTTTTCAGGGTTTGTCTTCTTCAATAAAACCCATAAAAAATATTCTCAGAGTGTCGAAGTGTTCTGGGTATAATCGGAGGTGTCACCAGATTCAGGTGGGAGCTGAACCTATACTGTATATCTAGCCAAGTTCCACCCAAGGGTGTGCTACACCTGGAACCAAAAAAATTCATTAAAGATAAAGAAAATAAAGAACAAATGCCTGTTTTCTTTCTGCGACCTATAGATGAATGTTTTTCTGAATGTTTTCCGTGCTGAGGAAATGTTAGTTTACATTCTATTGTGGAACTAGCAGCCTTCAGCAGTGGGGCCTCCTAATTCCCAGACCATGCTGTCCCTGACAATACTAAATAATCAACGACCATACAAAAAGGGTTTCTGATCGTGTTGAAAAGGGTATAGATAGGCCTCCTGGTCTTGTAAAAGACTTCACAGCAGCTAGACATCTTACTTCAGGTAAAATGTTCCCTGACCTCCACACACACACATTGTTCTTTTATGACAAAATGATTTTGTATTTAAGTAGATAAAAGCAGGTTTTTTTTTACCAACTTTTTATTTTTACTGAAGTAAAACGTTCAAATACATTTGTTTTCTAACCCTTTCACTGCCAGGTCCGTACAGTTTTATGGACCTGACAATGGGGGGTTTATACACAATCCAGTGGCTGCAGGCACAGGAATTGTGTGTAAAACTGACAGGCAGACTCCTGCCTGTCATGTGGAAGCAGTCAGGTGGCTCTGCTTGCCCATCTGTGGGCCCAGGGAGAGCCATGGCAGATGCCGGTGGGTGAAGGGAGAGAGAGGAGAGCAGCTCCCCTCCCATTCTTTGTGTGACCTGGAAGGCAGCGTCCATTACGTCACTTCCAGGTCACAGCTGTCACTTTCCTGGCTACAATAGCTGGGGAAAGGTGTATGCAAACCACATTGCAATACATCTAGTGGAGACCCTGCATGTCTCAATAAAGAGAATTTATCACCAAAAAATCATAACATAGGGGACTTTGTGTTCCCTATGTGATGAAAAAGAAAAGTAAAAAAAAAAAAAAATATTTGGCTGTAACTTTTTTTTTACAGTAAAACACATAACATCACCCCCCAAAAAATGTTGAGGCCCCACACCCCCACATATATGCACATAAATGCACACGTTATGGCTCCTATGCGTGAAAACATCGATTGTGATACACATTACATACCGACGCGCACACCGGAGTGAGAACAATAATTCTAGAACCATATATCCCCCGTAATGCTAAATTGATGACCTATAGGGGCTTTTGAAGTGTTGTGTATAGAAAAGATAGGGTACTGAAGTTTGACACAGTTTCATAGGTGCACACAAAATTAAGGTTTAGCATGTTGGGTATCTATTTACTCGGCACCACTTCGTCTTTTATATTTTACCAAAAATGTGTCTACCTGTGGCAAATTTTTTCAATGTTTTCAGAGGAATCTGTTATTAAGCACCTAGGCATGGCAATTCCTGCCCTCACGATCAGGGGAGCACCAACTTTGACCCATGGTCATCCGCCAGGCACCACTGAGCCCTTATGGACTTCCTGCAATGGAAACATTTTACATATTAATGTTTTAAGCTGCTTCTACAGTAACAGAACTGAGAAGACTGTGTCACTCAGCTTACCTTACAGTCACAGTCTACAGCTCATAGATATCACCTGAAGTGCTCCTGGATCCTGGGTTTAGGTGCATTTTCTACACAGGTACTAGCCTCAAGACACAGTGCAGAGGATATTTCAAGAATCCCTGGGCAGACCCTGTCCTTTACAGGAATTTAACTCTCTCTTTTCATACCCCTTACAATGTTATCATCATGATAGCCAACCATGGTGATCACATGGGTGTGTTTACAAACCAACCTGCTTGCGCAATGCTTAGAGAGTGGAACAATGACAGATGAAATTGGCGGTTTGCAGCTGAGAAAGTGCAATAAAGTTAGTACAAAATTAAACAATAATTAAATTAAAATTGGTATGCACCTGTAAACTTCATTATAACTCTAAAACTAATTTGCCTACCTAAATCATTTTAAGGCTTTGATTTACTATGCATTTTTATTATGTATACTGTTTTATTATATTCCCATTTGATTTTTCATTATAAGCTAATAAATAAGAAAATATGTTAATTACTGACCTTTTTGGAAAATGCTAACTGCTGTCTGTATGTGTCTTCATGATTAGTAATTTTAGTTTTTTAGAGACAGGCAAAGTCAGAATTCCTAATCTTCGTACTTCTTTCAGGTTAATAATTCTTAAAGCATTGAAGCTACTGGATCAGCATGACAGACAGATAAATATGCAGTTATGGAAATAAAACTCCATCATAGCATTCTATGATTTCTTAACAAAGTGTGGAATATTCACAGCATGGAGAGAAAAATATACACATTGCAAAAAAAAAAAAGGTTTTGCTATTAGAGATGTGCTAGACGGAAAAAATAGTTTTGTGTCAGGTTCGTTAAGTTAATAATCTCTCTTCGTCATATTTGTAATGTTAGAATATTTCATTTTTGTAAACCGTTTGTATATTCAGATTAGTTTTGTATATTTGTTATTTTCAAATTTTGCCAAACAAAATTCAAAATTTGACTTTCAGAAGATGGCTATATTTGTTCTATTCTATTCTATCCTTTTTTCTGTTCTATGCTATTCTTTTCTTTTCTATTCTATTTTTTTTTCTATTCTATTATTTTGTTCTTTTCTTCTATATACTATTCTATTCTATTCTGTTCTACAGGGTGTCTTTAAAGTCTGGGCACATAGAAAATAGCACTATATGTGTGGATATATGTGTACAATATATCACTATATAAGCTCACCAGACATTAACCACTTGCCTACCAGGCACTTATACCCCCTTATTTACCAGGCCAATTTTCAGCTTTCAGCACTGCCGCACTTTGATTGACAATTGCGCGGTCATGCAACATTGTACCCATATGAAATTTTGATCATTTTTTTCTCACAAATAGAGCTTTCTTTTGGTGGTATTTAATCGCCACTGGGCACTTTACTATTTGCGCTATAAATTAAAAAAGTGCAAAAAATTTGAAAAAAAAAAAAGTTTCTTTGTTTCTATTATAAAATTTTTCAAACAGGTATTTTTTCTCCTTCACTGATGTGCGTTGATGAGGCAGCACTGATGGGCACTGATAGGCGGCACTGATGGGCACTGATAGGCAGCACTAAAGGGCACTGATAGGCAGTACTAATGAGGTGGCACGGATAGGCGGCACTGATAGACAGCACTAATGAGGTGTCACGGATAGGCGGCACTAATATGCAGCACTGATAGGTGGCACTGATAGGTGACACTGATGATGGGTACTGATAGACGGCACTGACTGGCATCACTGCTGGGCACTGACTGGCGGCACTGACTGGCACAACCCCTGGGCACTGACTGGTGGCACTGACTAGCAGCACTGCTGGGCTGCACTGGTGGGTGGCACTGGTGGGCAGCACTGGTGGGTGGGCACAGGTGGGTGGCACTGGTGGGCACAGGTGGGTGGGCACAGGTGGGTGGCACTGCTGGGCACAGGTAGGTGGCACTTCTGGGCACAGGTGTGGGACACTGCAGAGTGGCACAGGTGGGTGCACTGCTGGGCACAGGTGGGTGCACTGCTGGGCACAGGTGGGTGATCTGCTGGGCACAGGTGGGCGGAGCTAGTGGGTGCACTGCTGGGCACAGGTGGGCGGAACTTGCGGGTGGCACTGCTGGGCACCGATCATCAGGGCACTGATCATCAGTGCCCTGATGATCGGTGCCGATCCTCGCTCTGACAACTGCCGGTTCTCGGCAGTACTTTCCTCATGATCTGACAGCGTGAGGAAAGTGCAGCCGAGAACCGGCACTTGCATTTCCCTCTGATCAGCGTGTCATTGGACACCGCTGATCACGTGGTAAAAGGCCGCTGTGATTGAACTTTTACCACATCACGTGATCAGCTGTGTCGCCGGGTGCGCGCCCCCTGGGGCGCGCAGGAGAGCGCGTTCTGGGAGGACGTCATATGACGTCCACTCAGAACTGGCCGTCATTCGGCTATCTGAGGTCGGCAACTAGTTAATCCTCTTGACTTATTTTTTGGGGGTATGCTAAAGGAGAAGGTGTACTCAATGAAAATCACAGATATGAATTACCTGAAGGAATGCATCATGAACAAATGTGCTCAAAGTTATGGAAATGTGGCGTTACTGCATCTGGTTCATGTGAATCTTGCAAAATGCATGGTATTTTGCATCACAAAAAGTGAAAATCACATTGAAGATGTTATTGATTAATACTCCAATTAAATAAAATGCTGTTGAAAAATGTATTGAAATTTAATGAAAATATGCATTTTGCCTATGTGTCCAGACTTTAGGGACACCCTGTACAGCAGACTAAATAGGAATCATCATTTCATTTCATTTTTATGCCTTACTATATTTATTGCATATGTTGCCATTTCAGAATCAAATTCATTTTCAAATTTAATTTCAAATTTAATTCATTTTTTAATTCAAATTAAGATATTAGTTTTATTACAATTTATTTCAGATTCATTGAAATTCATTACTATTGTGATTCAGAAATTCGGATACATCTGAATCTCTGGATATTGCAAATTTCATCAGAATTTCATTTCGTAATGAAAAGAATAGCACATGTCTGTTTGCTATGATACTGATGCTTTCCTCTGTTACTTACCTACATGGTCTGTATATGTGTATACGGATTTTTTAATACATACTACTATATATATATAATATATAAATAAATAGTTTCAGAACATATGAGCATCTCTGTCCAGCCTTCAAGGCTAAACTAAAAATTTTCATGCAGCACAAAAGAACTAATTATCTCTGTCAGTGCTGGACACTGTATCTAGTCTACAAAATGCTTGGTGTACAGTACATTTCAATTATATATAGATATACAGTACCACTGAGTCCCTGGGTCTGTGCATGTGGTGCCCTATATCAAAGCAACTTTTTGTTTCTATCTTTGCCTATTGGTACTTTCCTGTGTGTATGAAACAGCCACTATAAAAATCTTTTTTCATGAATGTTGCTCTCCCTGTCATGTCTAGGATGTCAGTCGTTCTGATGCAGCTTGTTTATGAAAAATAAAGACTCCAATGTCCTTAGCAGAAAAAAATATTCTCGTATTGGCATTTTTATGGATAGAGTCTGATTGGGTGAATCACCAGAGGAACAGATTTCTTTTTGTTGAAATGTTTCATTCCTCTCATTTAGAAATCTAAAGTCACTAACAATGGTGTCCGTTTATGAACCAGCAGTAATAGATCACTGCTCAGTTCTCCGGCATTCTCGGAGAACACAGTTCTCCTGTGAATGCAGTTTATGAAGCAGTTCTCCAAACGAACGGTCTCCAAACGGAGAACGGTCTCCAAACTCTGAAAAACTGCTCATTTTACTATAATCTCGCGAGATTACAGTAAAAGATCAGTTTACTAAGCAGAGGTAAATTATCGCTGCTTAGTTTTCGGTCCCTCTGATTCTCCAGCTCTGGGCTGGAGAATCTGGAGGGAGAACACAGATCTCCAGAGAAGGGCTGACATGATCTCCTGAGTGTCATAAACTGTGAATGACCAGAGAATAGCTGAGATCTGTTGAATCGCAGCTATTCTTTGTGTCATAAACGGACACCATAGTGCATAAAAATGGTAATCCTTGAACTGCGCCTTTCACTTTGTATCAGCATAAAAATCAACATAAAGAAATGATTTGTTAGGAAAAGCATCAGCAGGAATAATCCTATTTTGTGTTTTGAGACTGCATTAAAAAAATCCAGAGTAATAGATCTTTCAGAACAGCACAACAAAAATCTGCTTAGTAATACATGGTGTGCAGATATCCAAACTCATACTTTTATTTTCTCTTGATCAGAAGCAGCATATTTGTATTTTTTTTTTTCGTATTCATCCAATACTTTGCAGTAAGAAACAAGAACACGTGTCACAATCATTCTAGCTGAAATTGAATGGATTTAGGAGCAGTGGGAGAGCTTTTATTGCAGACATCTTAAAAAACAGGTGAATAGGTAGAGAACAAATAATCAAAGGGACCAAACATGACCCCACTTGGAAGCAGCATGTTCACAGATTCCTGGTGATAAGATTACTTTGTCAGTGGAGCTTTAAATAGTGTTCTCTATGATTAGACTGTCTTCTGCATTGCAGAACAGAGGACAGACCTTTCTTATTTAAAGGTATGGGGCATTTCATGTGCATTCACTAGAAAGAAAGTGAAAGAGAAAGATAAATCACTCTGTCATGTAACTTCAGAGCTACTCCAGAGGTATTTAACTACAGTTTATTCACTTTAAAGAACATTATGTCACACATGTCACTTAGGTTCATGCTAAATATTTAAACAACTTTATACTATTTAGCAACTATTTGTTCTTACAGCTAAAACACGTTAAATAAATAAATCTGTAAAAAATAAAATAAATATTTTTGAAAATTACAATATTATCAAGGGGTGTTTCTGGCATTCATTTAAAATATTTCTGAAATATGGTTGGAAAGTATTTTGATTTGTGCTTGTTTAATATTTAGTTTTAAATTTCAGTAAGTGCTCCTTGCTTTTTCCTTTGCACTTGTCATCTCTTCTACAATTTTAGATCAGCTCATAATGGCTCCTAGTCCTGTTCTGTGCTGATGTCTGTCATTATCCATGGATTTTTAAAGCCAAACTCTAGCCAAACATTTCTCTTTTATATCCCAACTCCAACTTTAGATGAAAAAAAAATGCATTCCCAGGACCATTTTTAAAAAATAGCAGATCTTGCTGATAAATGCCCCCAATGTCTGGCATTGTTTCCTATGGTTTGCAATCTTCACTTCTAGATAGTGGTGCTATCCTGGCTTGAATGAGGGCAGAGCATCAAGGATCTGCCCTCTAAAGGCCTAACATAACAGAATCACTAGAAAATGTTTCAGAGAGCAGTGGCAAGGCTCTCTCTCAGCACCGCAGATGCACCTATCACCACAGGAAAAGAGGAAAAGGAGCCATAACTTTACTTGACTGGCTTGAGGAATGGCATGGAAATGTGTGTATACTAACTTTTTATATGTGAGGAGGCTTTAAGTAGGTGGGGGAAAGTGAAGTGGGGTTACTGCCCAAACTGAAGTTAGATTTTAAGTTTTAGGTAGAGTGCCTAAATATTAATACGTATTTGTTTTTTTTTTTTGCTGTTTATGACTCTTTTGAGGAAATGCTTGACCAATTTATTGGTTTTCAGAGAGAAAAGAAAGTGAGGAAACCACTAAAAGTACTAGTAAACATTAATGCATATAGTCTTTTCTGATCCTCTCCCCTCCAGCAGTTTCAGTGTAAATCATATTTTCTTTATTCCTTTGAGAAACTTGCTAAACAGAATGCACAGTACCAGACAGCCTTAGTCCAAAATCTTTAGTACTTCTGCATTCTCCACAGCCTCCAAGCCTATCCCTACTGGGCTTTCCAGTATAAAGAATGGAGGCCAGTTTGTAGTTGTAGATATTACACAGAAGAATGCATACTATTCTGAGCAAAGGTCAAATGGGCAAACTTTATAGCAAAGATCTTGTAGGATCAGGGTTGTGCGTAAATATGGTACTAGAAGTGGTGGGGGTGTGGAATGGCTAAATCACTAAAAGTGCAGTTATTAAATTATTTTGAATTATAATGGCCAGCAAAATTCTAGAAGATATATAACATGTGGACACAAAAAAGTGGTGTTTAATAGGACTAAAGTGACACCTACTACCTGCCGATCGTCTATGATTCTTTTACAGACATCCTGTGCATTTGGTTAAATTCTACTCTACCACCAGCTAAAACCTTACAGCTAAATGTATCCATATCTCCTGAATTTTTCTAAAAGTATGCCTGCCAAATTTCAAGCTTATGGTTTCCATGATTTCCTTGTTTATAGTTTTTATTGGAAAGAAGATAACAGTGTTACATTAAGCCCATTTCAATGTGATTGCAGGTCTCATTTGGACTGAAGAGGCAAAGAGACAACAACAGAAAGTCAGAAGGGTGCAACCTTTAGTGGTAATGAACAGGTTGTAGTTTGTACAGTACAAAAATGTTTGCTTAGATTAACCCAAGCAGAAAATAATAGGACAATGATTACAAGGAAAGAATGAATGAAGAGAGACAGGCATACTTCAAATAAATTATAATTTTATTAGGTCTGGTACTCGCACAATGGGAATGCAGATTTAACATTGTAACATTTATGTAGGTACTAGTGACTGATGTGCAAGTTGTCCCAATTGGCGACAGCCCCCGTTACGAGTAATGCACTAACATGAATGTGGGAGGAAAGGTGAAAGGGAAAAGAGATATGGAAAGATGAGAGCAAGAGTAGCAAAAAAAGGGGTACAGCTAAGGGGGATGGGGAAAGAGAAGAAGTCCCCTTGGGGAGAGTGTGTGCCTGCATGGATTGGCAACCATGTAGCAGGTTACTTAATGGATTCAGGGTTATAGAGAGAGTAAGGTTTCATCGAAGTTTGATGGTAGGAAATGGTCCACCCATGGTTGCCATAGTTGTTTGTTTTTTTCAAATCAGATAGGATTGGCAACAAGGTGAAGATGAACTGTAGAAACTTTGATTTTTATTTGGATTCAGAGCAAAAATAGTTCTAGAATTCAAGCAACACTAACGCATTTCAGTCAAACAAGACCTTACTCATAGTTTAATTTTGTTTGACTGAAACGCGTTAGAGTT